GGGCCGCACAGACCGCGAGCAGACAGCGCCTGCTGGCCATTTCGAGACATTCGCAAAGAACGCTAGCTACATGGGAGGGCTTCGTGAAGGATGGATTGAAAAACATTCGAACAAAGAAGAGGCGACGGGAGGAACCGGCAGAGGATGCAGTGACGTGAGACACACACACACACACACACACACACACACACACACACACACACACACACACACACACACACACACACACACACACACACACACACACACACACACACACACACACACACACACACACACACACACACACACACACACCGCTCACCCACGCGCACCGGGCCTTGCACTTTAAATGCCGTGGGGCTCCTGTCGTTAGACGTGGAGACGCGAGGGTTGCCCCCCCTTGCCCCACCACCTCGTGTGTGTGGAGAAGTTTACCTTACCTTACCTTAGGACCCGTTTTGGGGACGCACAGGACAACCTTCACAGCTCACAATTCACTATCGTACTACGACCTTCATGAAGGGTAATTTTTCTGGGCGTGTGTGAGGAGCGGGAGTGCGCTCCGGACAGCTAGCTCGACATCCGCTCGGTCTAAGCCTAGGAGATTGCAGAGAGCGGAAGTCGCTCGCCGCCTGCCTGGCTGCCTCAAGGTCAGACGCCATACGTGGCAGCGATCTCATCGGCCTGGCGCTGTCGCCCCGCCTTCTTCAGCAGCGCGGCAAGATTGCGGGCTGAGCTCTGCGTCTCCTCATGCCCCTCCCCGTACCGAGCAGCGCACCCCTCCAGCTCCTCCCGGAAGAGAGTGATGGCGTCGCCGAGCCTGCCCTGGTCCTGCAGCAGCAAGCCGAGGTTGTAGATCGAGGTAAGCGTGCCCGGGTGCCGGTCACCGAGCGTCTCTCGCCTCGCCCCCAGCGCCTCGCAGTACAGCGCCTCCGCGCCGTCCAGGTCGCCCTTGGCGTGCAGCAGGAAGCCGAGGTTGTTGACCGAGGTGAGCGTGCCCGGGTGCCGGTCACCGAGCGTCTCTCGCCTCGCCTCCAGCGCCTCGCAGTACAGCGCCTCCGCGCCGTCCAGGTCGCCCTTGGCCTTCAGCAGCGTGCCGAGGTTGTTGATCGAGGTGAGCGTGTCCGGGTGCCGGTCACCGAGCGTCTCTCGCCTCGCCCCCAGCGCCTCGCAGTACAGCGCCTCCGCGCCGTCCAGGTCACCCTGGTCCTTCAGCAGCGTGCCGAGGTTGTTGATCAAGGTGAGCGTGCTCGGGTGCCGGTCGCCGAGCATCTCTCTGCACCCCTCCAGCTCCTCCCGAAAGAGAGTGATGGCGTCGCCGAGCCTGCCCTGGTCCTTCAGCAGCAAGCCGAGGTTGTTTATCGAGGTGAGCGTGTCCGAGTGCCGGTCACCGAGCGTCTCTCGCCTCGCCCCCAGCGCCTCGCAGTACAGCGCCTCCGCGCCGTCCAGGTCGCCCTTGGCCTTCAGCAGCGTGCCGAGGTTGTTGATCGAGGTGAGCGTGTCCGAGTGCCGGTCACCGAGCGTCTTTCGCCTCGCCCCCAGCGCCTCGCAGTACAGCGCCTCCGCGCTGTCCAGGTCACCCCGGTCCTGCAGCAGCGTGCCGAGGTTGTTGATCGAGGTGAGCGTGTCCGGGTGCCGGTCACCGAGCGTCTCTCGCCTCGCCCCCAGCGCCTCGCAGTACAGCGCCTCCGCGCCGTCCAGGTCACCCTGGTCCTGCAGCAGCGTGCCGAGGTTGTTGACCGTGGTGAGCGTGTCCGAGTGTCGGTCGCCGAGCGTCTCTCGCCTCCCCTCCAGCGCCTCCCGGAAGAGAGTGATGGCGTCGCCGAGCCTGCCCTGGTCCTGCAGCAGCGTGCCGAGGTTGTAGATCGAGGTAAGCGTGTCCGAGTGCCGGTCACCGAGCGTCTCTCGCTTCGCCTCCAGCGCCTCGCGAAGCAGCATCTCCGCGCTGTCCAGGTCGCCCTTGGCCTTCAGCAGCAAGCCGAGGTTGTAGATCGAGGTGAGCGTGCTCGGGTGCCGGTCGCCGAGCGTCTCTCGCCTCGCCTCCAGCGCCTCGCGAAGCAGCATCTCCGCGCTGTCCAGGTCGCCCTTGGCCTTCAGCAGCAAGCCGAGGTTGTTGATCGAGGTGAGCGTGCCCGGGTGCCGGTCACCGAGCGTCTCTCGCCTCGCCTCCAGCGCCTCGCAGTACAGCGCCTCCGCGCCGTCCAGGTCGCCCTTGGCCTTCAGCAGCGTGCCGAGGTTGTTGATCGAGGTGAGCGTGTCCGGGTGCCGGTCACCGAGCGTCTCTCGCCTCGCCCCCAGCGCCTCGCAGTACAGCGCCTCCGCGCCGTCCAGGTCACCCTGGTCCTTCAGCAGCGTGCCGAGGTTGTTGATCAAGGTGAGCGTGCTCGGGTGCCGGTCGCCGAGCATCTCTCTGCACCCCTCCAGCTCCTCCCGAAAGAGAGTGATGGCGTCGCCGAGCCTGCCCTGGTCCTTCAGCAGCAAGCCGAGGTTGTTTATCGAGGTGAGCGTGTCCGAGTGCCGGTCACCGAGCGTCTCTCGCCTCGCCCCCAGCGCCTCGCAGTACAGCGCCTCCGCGCCGTCCAGGTCGCCCTTGGCCTTCAGCAGCGTGCCGAGGTTGTTTATCGAGGTGAGCGTGTCCGAGTGCCGGTCACCGAGCGTCTCTCGCCTCGCCCCCAGCGCCTCGCAGTACAGCGCCTCCGCGCTGTCCAGGTCACCCCGGTCCTCCAGCAGCGTGCCGAGGTTGTTGATCGAGGTGAGCGTGTCCGGGTGCCGGTCACCGAGCGTCTCTCGCCTCGCCCCCAGCGCCTCGCGGTACAGCGCCTCCGCGCCGTCCAGGTCACCCTGGTCCTGCAGCAGCGTGCCGAGGTTGTTGACCGTGGTGAGCGTATCGGGGTGCCGGTCACCGAGCGTCTCTCGCCTCCCCTCTAGAGCCTCGCGGTGCAGCGCCTCCGCGCCGTCAAGCTCGCCCTGGTCCTGCAGCATCAGGGTACGAGCACAGAGCAAGGTGTCTTCGTGGTCTTTTCCGTTCGCCTCGATACTGACGCTGAGCGCCTCGCGCAGCAGTGGAACTGCGCTGTCCGCGTCCCCCATGACTACCAGTAATTTGGCCACGTGGTAGATCGAATCGATCAACGAATCTTGGGGATCGCCCGCTATCTTGCGGCTCACCTGCAGCGCTTCGCGGAATACCTCGAGGGACTCCTTGAGCTCCCCTTGCTTGTACAGCAGCACGCCAAGATTGAGGAGCTCATAAGCCTGGGTATACCTGCCCCACATTGCGTGCGTACATCTGAGCTCTTCGCGGAAAAGTGGAATCGCCCGCACCAAGTCTCCTCGCAGTGCGTAGAGGCAGCCAAGCTCCCAAAGCGCATGCTCAGGTGCTGCACCGCAGCTTCTAAGTCCAGCACGCGCCTCGTCGAGCAGCACCTCTGCCTGATCATCTTGCTCTCTCTCTGCGCACAGCCTGCTGAGGTCGCCCTTGATGTATGAGCTGAGCTTCACGTCTTCGCTGAGGTCCAGCGTCTCGAGGAGCACAAGCTCCGCCGAGTCAAGTTGGCCATCGGAAAGAAGCGCACGTCCCAACGCATGCTTGAACTCCAAGAGGAGGTGCGCTTGCGGGGCGTCTGGCCCAACGAAGAGGTCGGCATACTTGGTGGAGAGGCCGTCCACTCCCTGGCGAAGAGCGGACACGGCACAAACAGCATCGTAGGCACAGCATGTGAGCGTTCTTCGGTCTTGTGCCGCGTATTCAGCCCCCATCAGGCACAGGATGATGTGCCAATTTGAGCCACGTGCGCGCTGCAACCATTCCCTGAGTATCCCAATGCTCACCCCGTCCGAATATTTCACGCCGCAAGTCTGGCAGGCGACAACGTTCCAATAGCTGTCGGATGTGCGCCGCCATCGTTCAAGGCACGCTGCGTGCACCCATCTTGTTGAGCCGCGGCATTTGCACGGGTCGACGAGCTCGCCGTCGCTGTCGTCTCCCAGGCATATGCGACAAGAGCGATCTTTGGACGCCATGTTGCACTGAAGGACTTGGGACGCCATAATGCACTGACTAGCTGAGGGGCTCGCTAAACGCTCGCCGAGCTCCATGCTGTGCAACACCACCTCCTCACTAATCGTCAGGGGCGCGGAGAGCGCAGTGCACTGCGGTGAGGCTGCGCCGCGGGGGCTCGCCCCCTGCACCGCGCTCAGAGCGGCGTAGGGGAGAGGGCGGTCGGTGGCGGCGGCGGCGAGGCGCGAGGCGGTGGCGGCGGTGGTGCGGGCGGCGGGATGACAGGGGAGGCGGCGGGATTGACAGGGGAGGCGGCGGCCACGAGCGGAGCGGCGCGAGAAGGGGGGGGGGCGGCGGCGAGGCGCCGGTGAGCGAGGCGCCCGCGCCATCAGAGGGACGCGCCGCTGCGAGATGGAGGGCGGCGGTGACGGAGGCGAGGCGCGAGGCGGCGGCGGCGGCGGCGGCGGCGGCGGCGGCGGCGGCGAGAACGGCGGCACCGAGTCTCGGTGAGCGGCGGCGGGAGGAGGAGCAGCGGCGGCGCTCGCTCGCTGTTGACGGGAGCGCTTTTGAGCCTGGGAGCCCATGCCACTGCGACCGGCGTGCCCGGGAACGGAGATCGCGCGCGCGCCGCCACTCACGACGCGCGCGCGATCTTCGCGGAGTCGGGTCCCCAGAGGGAAGCGGTCTTCTCGGCCGACGTCCAGCGGCGCGCAAGGAAGCAGGCGCAGCGGAGGCGGCCTAGCACCGGCTCGGCGCCGGGCGGTTGCGCTGCCCGCGAGCCGCGTCCTGAGCCTCGGCAGCGCGCTGCGCGGCGCGGCGCTCGCGCTGCTGCGGTGCCGAGAGCGGCATGATGGATCGCCAGCTGAAGCTCGAGACTCCTCGGGTCCGCGAGTTCTGGGGGTCACCGGGATAAACGGCGGACGACGCGAGGCCCTTATATCTTTAGAAGGAGGGCTGAGCGCGGCTCACATGCGGGACGCGATGACAAGACCTTGCCGGTTCCTTCGTTTTTTGTTTTGGTTTTTTCGGTATCGTCCACGCCCCATCCCACCAGTCCCTCCCCATCACCCCATCCCCAACCTCTTCTTCCCCCACCCTTCGTGTAATCATGTAGTCCCCACAATCGCTGACGTGGGATCGCTTGTCATGTGAGAGAGTGCGTTGTGTTCTTGTTTCGTATCCGCTCTCTCTTTTAGCGGTCGAAGTGCACCTTTGGTCTTCACCCCACAAAAGCACGGCCCTGGACCCAAGATCCTTGCCAGGAGCGTGCACAGCCCCGCGCGTGAACTCCGCTCCTCCGCACGCTGCACTCTCTCTCGCGTGGTGCAGGTGCCGGAGGGCGAGTCGGCGCGGGAGCCACGGCTCTACTCGACGATGGGCGGCAGCGTGTCCAGAGACGAGAAGTGGTCGGAGGAAGCGGCGGCGTTGTGGACGACGCGTCTTCGACATGTCGTTCGGGCGGCCTGGCTCCCGTCCTCCAGGAGGAAGTCGTGCGCGCCAACGGTCTCCTCCTCTTCTCCGGCCTCCTCCTCGCCCCCGTCCTCCGCCTCGCCCCCCTCTTCCTCCCCCTCCACGCCCGCCGCGCCCTCGCCCTC